TTTTTTTTTTTTTTTTTTTTAATATATGGTCCATATCTCGATTGAAGCGTGTCATTCTTGCGCAGTGGCCTTGTTAATCTTCTCTGTATTGGTCCAATTTCAATGTTCAACGGAAGTCTCTCTCTCTCTCTCTCTCATTTTTTTTTATATATTTTTTTAATATGGTCGACATCTCGATTAAAGCGTGTCATCGTCGTGCAGGGGCCTTGTTAATCTTTTTTGTATCGTTCCAATTTCAAATTTGAACGGAAGTTTCAAAGGACCTCTCTCTCTCTCTCTCTCTCTCTCTCTCTCTCTCTCTCTCTCTCTCTCTCTCTCTCTCTCTTTCTCTCTCTCTCTCTTTTCGTTGGACAAGTGTGACACTTTTTTTTTCTTCTGCCTTTTCAATTATGGGCCTTCAGTTGCTGGTTGTACTTGGATTGGGTGCTTTGATCAAAGGGAGTGTTTAGACAGGGGGTTGGGAGGGGCGCGGCGGGGAGGAGGGTTTGAGGGGCGGGGAGGAGGGTTTGAGGGGCGGACGTTGTTTCCTTTGAAAGTGTTGAAGAGGGGCTGACGCCTGGGATGTTTGTGGATTGTGTGTGCGCACGTGAAGTTGTCGATGGTGCTGACGAAGCAGATCTTGCAGTTGCTTGCGAGGCACTTCACTGATGAAGGTCCTCACGGCAAGAACCCCGACAAGGGGTCGAGGCACTGGCTGTGCAACTATTGCGAGACTCGGTTTGTCAGCATGAAGTCAGTCCTCAAGAAGCACTTCATGACGAAGTGCAGTATTGAGCTTGTCACTTGGGCATTAACAGCGGAGGAGAGGGTGATGAGAATCGAGGGCATCCGACTGCGGAAGCACCAGGTTAGTCAACTCGCAAGTGTAATTGGTGGAAGTTATGATCCAAGCATAGGACCGTCTTCCAGTACTTTCGTTCCTCCATGATCACCAGCACAGAGGCCAAGTGATGGTGAGACGCCCTTGCCTGCAGGATCTGCGACATGCTTCCCTCCTGCCCCTATAAGTGGTGGACGGTCGGTGAGGCAAACTTTGCTCGAGGAGGCGGACAGTATCGTCACCCGGAACGAGCAAACGAGTCGGAAGATGGATCGGTGGCTGATTTGTACGAATCAGTCTTTCAGCATGGTGAATAACTTCTACTTCCTCGAAATCCTCGATGTTGTGAAGAAGTGTCATCCTAGTTGGTGGCCTTGCAAGAGGGACGAGATGAGGACGAAAAGGTTGGACGGGCAATTTAAATTGGTGGGGGAAGACTCGCGGTCATTAGTCAAGAGGTGGGAGAGAACAAGGTGCATGCTTTAGATGGACGGGTGGTCGGACCGGAGGAACAAACCACACTTGAACTTCATGGTGTTTTCCCCAGTCGGAAATGCTAGGTTACCAATGGTCCGGAGACCGGACGTCTCCCCCGGACATCTCCCCCGGACGTCTCCCCCGAACGTCAGGTACCCCCGTCGTCCGAATTTCCGGACGACGGCTTTCTGGCACTAAAAAAAAAATATCACAGTGTTGCGCATGCCCTAGAGACCCCTCACAAAAAAATTCAGATTTTTTATCATTTTTCTGA